CCGGGTCGGGGTCCTCGCCGGCGGCCCCGGGCCTCTTCCGTAGACGGGGAAACTGAGGCTCGCTTTGGGACCTGGAACCTTTGAATACCTGAGTCATCGCCGGCAGTGCCCGCCCCCAGAAGACAGTGTCTCCGTTTTCACTCGTAAAAACGGCGGACCCGAAACCGGGGTCGGGGCTGGCCGAGGCAGAGCGGTGGGGAAAGACATCTGCAAAAGCACCTACAATGCACGGGGGCTGGCTTTTATTTTCTTGTAACTAAACAACGCCCCTTAGTTATAACTCCAAGTGGGCTAGAGTGTACCCATTTCACAGAGGGGCAAACCGAGGCTGGACAGAGGTGGTGACTGCAAGGGGCCGGCGTTGAGGGTAACACTTGGGAGGCCGACCGTGTGCTGGGTGCCTTAGCCTTCGCCACCCCACAGTAGTCCCCTGAGGAAGGCTGCGGGCCCTGTGGCTTGGGGGGGGGGGGGGGGGGGGCGAGCCGGCTCGAGGGGGTTACCAAATCAGAGGAGAAAATGGGCATCTTTAAGGACCCAATACTACACGTTTTCCCCCCGAAACCCTTTAGAATGGCAGAAAACGACCTGGGCTTGAACCCAACTCTCCTTCTTCCTGTCTGTTTGACCTTGAGGGTGTAACCTCGCCTTCTCGTGCCTCGGTTTCCCCATCGGAGAAGTAGAGATGGTCATGGTCCCCATCTCATTAAAAAAATTTTTTTTGAGATCATTCTAGGGGTTGAAACTCGGAGAGCTGTTCTAAGAGCAGAAAGCACCAGGCACATAGTAGGTGCGCTTGCCACTATGTAGTCCTCATTTCACCCACGAGGAGACCAGCTCCGCAGGACAGGGAGCCACGTGTTGTCGTCTTCTTGGGTTTTGTCGTCTGCTTCTCCTCTGCAGACAAATTTCCAGGGCCGGGGACACCGAGGCTCAGAGAGATTAAGCGAGGTCCCGAGGCATTGCTTATTGAAGCCCCGGGCTGGGCTCTTTCTCCCATATCGTTTTTATTTATTTCTCTGGCCGTAATTGACAGAGAGGAACCTTGAGGCCCAAAGAGCTGGAGCGGGATTCGAACCCTGGAGTCGCCAGCCCTCTCCGCTGCGAGCGCCTGACCTTTACCCGCGGGAAGGAGGGGCCCC